GTGTGGGTGTGGGTGTGGGTGTGGGTGTGGGTGTGGGTGTGGGTGTGGGTGTGGGTGTGGAGCGTGAGTGTGTGGGTATTAGTGTGGAGGAGTGTGGGTGTGTGCAATTTAGAAGAAGACAGATACCCACGCCCACATCCACGAGACTGAAAAATAGAAAGTACATGGAGTAGGATGGAACAGGATGGGAGTAGAATTTTCTTCGCTCCATCCAGACTGTTTCCTTCCCTTTGAGCTAACAAACAATAGTTTTTCGTAACTCCTCGTCAAGAACACTTCATGTATGGAAAACATAATTAACTCAAACATTGTTAATCGAAAAGATCCTGTTACGCTAATAAAACAGTTCGAAACAATTCTTGAGAAATAGACAGCTCGGGTCGCTGCTGAAAAATGGAAAGTAGCGCGGAGTAGAGTAGAAAGTGAAGCGTGAAATGAGAGGAGACACAGGGCGCGAGACCGATTTATATCGTTCTGCGGAACTCTGGGACCTACCATGTTGGAGAAAATGCCGAAAATAGTGGTCATTTTGACTCATCAAGGTTATAATATCTGCTTGAAGGAAACAATCAGTTGATTAAAGCCTATGATAACTCTTCATTTATTAATTGACATGAAGTTGGTCTGAAAAATATGGTTTTCTGTCAGCCGTTCTCCGAAAGTGAGAGAAAGAAGCGAGATAGTCTTGAAGAAAAAACAGACAATTTGAATGATGAGATATGGCATACAGGGTTGAAATTATGTTAATATACAACAAAAAAACCTGAGGAAATGCGAGAAAACTCGAAAAATTCAAAGAAACTTTTAAAAATCCCTAAATTTGCTATTCCCTCTTGGAATATGATTAACTATTTTTTTTAGCACATACTATTCTTAACCTTTCTTGAGATAGCCATATCTAAGGAGACTCAACACATGACAGCGAAAGCTGACGAAAATCCTAGGATGAATGAACACAAAAAATAGAAGACATTGAGCGCTTTGCAACCTCTTTTTACATACACTTTGACGAGAGGGCTCGCCAAAAGTCTTCAAGAATGCCACTGTTGTGAATGAGAGAGGACGATTGATTTAATCAAGGTCAATGTGTCTCGTGATGATAGGGCCTTGCTTTACAATAGGAGATACGATATTCAAATGATAGACAAGGAATAAGAAGTTTAAAAGTTCGAAAGAAATCTCAGAAATCTAAAAAAATCCCAAAAAATCTCAAGAAATCTTCTTTGGATTTTAGAATCTGTAAAATCCCAAATCCCTTTTTTCCCCCTTGAAAAATATCGACAACTAAATAAGACTACTTACCAAGTGATATTGAAATATGCCTGCTGTGCGAAGTAACTCTGCAAGGGATTGTAGTATTTATAAATTTTGGCAATTTTTCTGTTTTTTTCAACATAGACTGCCTGAATCAACCAAGTGTAACTATTTTCTATTTGACAGCTTCGTTTTTTTTTCATTCATACCTATA